TTCTCTCCACCCCCGTGTCTTTATCTAGCTTCTCTTCTTCATTAATGGATGCTACGAGGGTTGTTACAGTCCACTTGAACATTGAACCGCGATCAACGATCAAAACCTATTGAATTCGATTATTCAATTTCTGATATGTTCCCACTGCCCCGGATTTGAAAATGAAGGAGTGAAGGGTCAGAGAAACTTATCTCGTTGATTATGATAGTAGATTGAGGCTTAGATTCTTAGGCGATGAAGTAGGAAACGTCTAGATGATTATGCGATGAAGGAGGAAACATCTCAGACTCTTACGCAGGAAGATGAAGGAGGAAATTAAACGTGAGTATTTAACACTAACAGAATATGCTTGGACATTTTTGTCTTTTAAATGATGATGTACAATCTTTAGAACACAATGTACAAACAGACCAGCACTAACAACACGGACATAAATCCAAGGACATAACCTGTAATAACACTTATTATGTTTTTAGATTAGATTAGATAATGATAATAATGATAATAATGATAATAATAATAATAATAATAATAATAACAATAATAACAATAATAACAATAATAATAACAATAATAACAATAATAATAATAATAATAATAATAATAATAAAATGTCATTTTGCTACCAATCTTCAAATTTCTATTACTTTAATTTCTGTCTAATTATTTTTTTTTTCTTTTTTAATTAGTTTAATTGTGATTGGGTCGGCCGCGGACTCCGCCGTGATGCTAATGAAAAGCTTATTTGGGACCCTGAAGAAGATGGCAAATTCTGGGTTAAAAGTCGTTACAAAGCACTTATTGGGGAATTCAATGAGGACAAAAAGAAGTGGTCAATGCAGTGGAATCTAAAACTCCCCCGAAGGTGAAAATATTTTTTTGACTAGTTTGTGCTAACTGCCTACCTACTAAGAACATGTTGCGTTCTAGGAAAATCAATTGTGACGATTGTTGCAATATCTGCGGATAAAGTCAAGAATCAGCCAAGCATCTATTCATGGCAATCGTTATGTTGTGGAATTGTATCCACGGTTCTATGTTCATAATTACTGAATTATATGTTTATAATTATAAAGCTATATATTCATAATTATTAAACTCTATATTCACAATTATCGAACTCTATGAAATAATTACTGAACTATATATTCATAATTATAAAGCTATATATTCATAACTTTTGGAACTTCATATTCACAATTATTGAATCTCTATATTCATAATTACAGAACTATATGTTTTCATAATTATGTTCACAATTCTATGTTCATAATTATAGAAGTATATATTTATAATTTTTGAACTATGTATTTATAATTATATAAACAGTTTTAGCATAATTTGCCCTGTTCCTGGATTGTAATCTTGCAAAAGACTGTTGGAGAATTTTGAATAAGTATTTGGCCCATTTGTAGAATTAAACTATACAGGAATGTCTCAAGAAAATACGTACCTCACTAAATACTGTTCAATGCTGCCTCTTCAATGTGTTGTTAGGAAATTTAGAATCAGAGAAATGGGAAGATGGAGACAATGATCCCAGGGATGTTCAGGGCCAAATCAGATGGACAAAACCTCAACCGAGAAAAGTGTTAAGCAAACACAATGAGAGGAATTATAACTAACTCCGTTCAACTGGTGCAATCTCTCAAAGAAACGAGTGAAATCTCTTCATTTCATTTAATCCTTAAGGACATTAAACAACTATTGAGTGAATTTTCTCATGCATTTATTATTTTTATCAAACAATCAGCAAATCAAGCTACACATATGTTAACAATGCAGTCTATTTTTATAACTAGCTGGTTTTCCAACCCTCTCTCTCATCATTTGTAATGTGTTGTCTTCAGACATGATTTAATGCAATGTTTTCTTCCAAAAAAATATTCATATGAACCCAAAAGGCAGAATTATAAGAAGAATAAAGAAATCCCATTAAAGCAACTAAGCAAGTTCCTGACAAAGGTCATGTTGAAAGTTGGCAGGTCATTTGCAAAAACTAATACAACACATGTAACGTGTTACTTTACAAACAAACAGTTTAATCAGATCAGAAATTCCATGTACATTCGCTCTAGAGACTAGAGAGAGATCCTCCCAGCCACTTTACAGCTTCTAAAATGGTGTGGTTTAGTCATTTTAGTGAACATTGCGGGTGATCAGCCCTTCAAAAATGGTGTATAAATCCTTGTTGTCTGGACCAAAAATCTCATCCACCTTTCGCAAACAATCCTAAGAGCAAGCGGCCATCTTATTTAAACATGATCAATGGCTAGAAGCAATGAAATACAAAGCTGTAAAAGAGTGCCCGTACCTCTTTTGTTTGTTTGTGGGAATTCAACTCCTTCACATTCGATAGAAAGGCACCAAACTGCTCATACGACAATCGGCTCCTATAAAATGACCAAGAAGAATCACTATGCATGAAGCTTTACACCGTGTATTATGGTTAATATGAAATATTAATTTAAAGAATGAGGAAGATGTGCGGCATTCAGATTGAAGGCACAATAGTATTGGTAGCAAACCTGACTTGGCGGAAGAATTCTTTTCCATCAACTCGAGTTCGCGCTAAACCAGATCATGCACAAGTTATGCATCAGTTGGAATGAGTAGCAACTCCAAAAACGGAGTTTGTGTACTTAATAAATAAACAAAAAGGCGGGGCTAGCCCATTAGAATTGCGAAAATATAGGACCAACATAGTGTTAGCAGCTACCATCAAACGAAACAGATGTTTAAAAGAAAAAAGAGAAAATTATAATATTCACGTGTCAACTTCTCCAATGTGCAGTGGGTCTCATTCCCCAAAAAAGGGCTTGGAATTATCCTCACAGTCAGAACAGAAACTAGTAATTAGTATGTTACACACATCTATCACTGTTTATAAACAGCCGATGATTAAAATTTGAGAATCATATTGAGAAGGTACCTCATCCAACCATCACTAGGGAAACAGAAGGAACTAAATCAAACATTATAAACTGGGAAACTCACCAGATTGCGATCCTGCATCTAAGCTTGACATTGAACTGTGCTGGCTAGGAGGCATTGATGAAAATAAAGAAGACCTATCATCAAACATGCCCCTCGTGGTTGCAAATGAAATCGAATGTCTCCTACGGGGAGAAATTGGTTTGGGTGATCGTGTTGGAGAAACAGATGCTGACAAGCTTGGAGGGGAAGCGGGAGGAGTAAGCCGAGGGGTGCTAGTCTGGGATGCTAACAACAGGCCTTGTGCTATGCGGGGCCTCAAAGCTGCAATGCATTAAATGTGAATATGTGATGTCAGATAAGGACTTGTGAACTTAGAAATATTTCCATAATATCACTTCAATTAACTTTTAAAGTCAATACATGTAGCGTACGTACCTTCAGTATCAGAATCCTCTGTATTATTGTTTCCACTATCAGACGATTGGCTCCGTAAAGGAGGTTTTGTAGGTGGCAAGGTACCATCACCTTCTGAAGAATAGTAATTACATATAAGGGGAAGGTTTCAACAGCACCCTAAAATCACAACTATCGAAATTGTGGGAATGACATGAAATATAAAAACTGTCTGATGAAGAGGTAACCCACCACCAACACCCCACAAAAAAAAAAAAAAAAAGGAGGTTTCTATTTTAGGAAATTTACGATGAAAAAGCAGATCGATGGAGAATGAAATTACACAAAAGACAGACCTATTTGGCCTGGTCCACATGCAGCAATGCCCTCAGCAGCTCCCGCCTATTCAATCAAATTAAATACGGAATTAGGGATCAAGGCATTTTCTCAACAATCATATCAGCACGCAAGTTACAGACAGCAGTTCAACTTGGTCTACGATTAACTAATAGCACCCATATTTAAGTAAACATAGAAGTGCAGAAAAGATGAAATGCTCCAACTTTGATTGATCAACTCACAGGGTTATCTTCTTCCTCTTGAAGTGACCGCATAAGTGTCTTTCTGAAGGCTTCCAACTGCAAGCATTCGAGAAAACTATTACTCCATACTCAAGGCACTACCATCAATAATGGTGAAAATGTGATATAGTAATCTTGGAGGACTTGCTATTCGACCCTCCCAACAAAGGAAAATTTTAAAGTATTGCCTTTGCCTACCAATTTGTTAACAAAATTAAAAATTTCATCAACTTCTACATATAGATTCTGTAAAAGCTCATAAGATTTTCTTGACTATGGTAATATCAGTTAACAGTCTAGAAGTTTACAACTTCTGTGGAACATTAGAAGAGGACTCATACATACCCTCTTTACAAAATTCAAATAGCTCACCCTTCCAAAGAGAAATTAAATGCTGAATAAGCTTTCTCAGTTACAATTAGCCCAACTGTCACTTCTCTGTTGCAAGCTAGTTGTCCAACAACCATACATTACAAAATTTCCAAAATCTATTACTCCATATATGCTAAAGGAGTAAAGGGAAACTTATCAAATTCAACTAATATAGTAAAATGGCATCAATTGATACTCATACTTAGTGAAAATTGTCGGGAAAATCCAAAAATCACAAAATCATCAATGTAAATCAGATGTATATGTTAAGTGCATTTGAAGATTCTTACTTCGAAAAGGCCATGATATAATTCCACATAAAACTGTTAATGGTGTTTGTTGAACACACATAAAATGAAATCAGATAAGATACAACCATGTAAACCATAAAACTTATAAGAGTTAATACCACAAATAGTCCTTTGACTATTGGGGTAGTACTCATTTTAGTCCTCAACTTTCAATTCGACCAAAACACATACCTTGACTTTCATTTTTGACCACAAATAGTCCTCCGTTAAGATTTCTGTTAAATGTAAGGGTATTTTCGTCAAATCAAAGCCTATGACTCCAAGTGAACACTTTATGCCCTAATTACTCCAAATTAAATTGATAAGGTGGAAATGTGAGTTGCCTACATGTACGATTACAATTACTCCAAGCCTTCGTGGTTAGATACCCCTAACGTAGGTTCAATGATTATAATAAAACTGGCTCTCCAGTCAAGGATTGCTTATATGAGAGCTTCTCCTTCAACTGCTATGGGTCCGACTGAGCATTAGGTACACATATATAGGGTTTTGGGATTTTTACTTGTATACCAAATTTATTATTGTTAAAAAAAATTCGCCGACCACATATAAAACCCCTGAAATATGAATTATGTTGATTTTCGAGAAATATAATCACATTGAACATGCATTTTTGGAGGATATATGTTCTTGTATTCTTTTATTTGGATTATTTCCACCTTTCTAATAAATGAAGTGTGATTATTATGTATGGAGCAGTCATATTTTCGTCTAGCAATATAATATTGTTGCTTTGTGTGGATAAGTGGTGCGTTTGACGAAAATACCCTTACATTTAACACTCATTTAACATAAAATCTTAATGGAAGACTATTGGTGGTCAAAAATAAAAGTCCAGGTATGTGTTTTGGTCGAATTGGAAGTTGAGGATTAAAAGGAGTACTACCCCAATAGTCAGAGGACTATTTGTGGTATTAACTCAACTTATAATTATAAATACAAGCTCAAGGCTTAATAACAACAGGGTCCGTGATTCATTTCTTAATCACTTGACTATTCCAATATCCTTCTTGTAGGATGGGTAAAGGGCCACATCCATCAATTGATGGCTAGGGGTTGTTGAGCGGAGGTCATTGAAAGGCCAAATCCAACACCATGTCTCTTGAAAATGTGATGGCGGTCTATAAAAAAAATAAAGTTGGGCTACTAGCTATAGCTTTTGGCATAGTGATAAAAGCTTATCCTAACAAATGGTATTAGACTCAAGTCAGGGGTTGGAGTTCGAGTCCAGCAAGAGCAAAGGAGGTATCAGAGTCAAGTCACGGGTTGGGGTTCGAGTCCAGCAAGAGCAAAAGACAGACTAGCAAGTGCTATAGGGAAAATTGTTGGCAGAGGCCGGTAGAAGGCCAAATCTATAATCCATGGCTAAGAGATTGTAGTAGTTAAAGCTTTTGGCATAGTGAAGTATTAAATATTACGGAGTAGTATTTTGACTATATAAGAAAAGTATAGTTCGTCTCTAATACCTTAGAGACATCGCGGTTCAGCTTCCTCACTGTGGCGGACAGCGCGGCGTTCTCTTTCACCAAGTTCTCCTGCACTTCAAATTATGAATGAATAAAAAAGTTCACGACCTTATTCATACGAAGTGGGGAAGTTAGGACCTTTTCTCGCTCAGCTTGGGCAAGCTTATCGGAAGCATCGGAGAAGGAGGCGTCAATGGAGTCGAGTTGCGACTGGAGGTCGGAAATGGCGGCGTCTCTGTCGGCGACCTCGCGGCGGAGGGTGGCCAATTCATACTCGAGGGAGGAGACGCGCGAGGACAGGGCGATGGAGGTGATCTTACGCGCAACATCCAGCTGCTCGAATGGATCCGACGGCAAAACCGCCAAAACTTCCTCGGGAAGATCGAAAGTCGTGTTCGGTCCCGGTCCTCCTGATTCGTTCGACAACATTTTCTACGCCACTGTTTTCCTTTTCTCCGATTTTGATTTTTTTTTTTTTTTTTTGTGACATGTATATACACAACGAAGATTAACAAGGTCCAGTGCTACATGTGTGACAGAAGAGAAAGATGGATTGGATAAGGATTTTGGATTTACTTGTCTCATTTTGTATTATTATTTATGCAATTTGTGGTCGCCCCTTTCAAAGTAATTTAAGTGGTCATGCAATTAATATTTAGTCTTAAAAAAATTTAGGATTTGTTTTGAAATTTAGAAAATGACTTTTATAAGTTATTTTTTTTTTAATTATGTTGAAATGTTCAAAGAAAATAAAATTAGAAAAAAATTTGTATTCCAATCAATGACAAAAATGTTCAATTGTGTAGGAAATCTCTTCCTAAAATTTTTTGTCAAAAAACATTAGTACCATGCGATGTTTGTAATGGTAATGTTAATGCTTCCCAAGTGTATTGCACGGAAAATCATATTTTTGTAACAGTAATACTAGAAAGTAGAAACTCCTAATATTTTTTATTTTTAATTCATCCCGGTCAAGGCTTGTTTATAGAGTCTAAATGAAAAATGGTTTGTTTGGATAAAAAAACGTAGGTTATTGTCTTTGTTTTTTTTTTTTTTGTTTTTTTTTTTTTTTGGAAGACCATAAAATGTGTAGTCACTATCTGAAATTGTGCACTTGCTAAACCTCGCTTTTATGTAATAATTTGTAAATTACACATGAGAGGTAAACCGCACTAAGAAGACCATGTGTTACATGCTCAACTAAAAAAATGTTGGCAAGAATCAAATTCATAACTTTTATGGATGGGAATTATACTCCATATACTTGGTCACCCCTATCAAGACATTATTCTTCATTTTGACCCTTATGAATCCACTTTAAAAAAAAAATAATAATAACTAGTTTATTTAATATTATTGGCTCTATTACAATGTATTATATGTCTATACATATCTTCTCAACCTATCAAAGCACAAAGAATCAATGCCCCCACTAGGATTCGAACATGTGACCTCCCATTTGACCCACACGAATCCACTTTTTTGTCCCATTTGACTCATACGAGTCCACTTTTTTTTTAATGCTACTGACTCTATTACAATGTAATATCTGTTCATAACTACTTTCTCAACCTACTGAAGCACAAAGAGTCAATACCGCCTTCACTGAGGCTCGAACCCACAACCTCCCATATGGGAGTGCAACCTTGGTGCCATTAGGCAAAAAAAAAAAAAAAAAAAAAAAAAAAAAAAAAAATATATATATATATATATATATATATATATATATATATATATATATATATATATATATATATATATATATATATATATATTTTGGGAAAAGGGTCAAATAGACCCTCGAACTTTAGCTGAAAAGTCAATTAGCCCCATCAACTTTTTAAATGTGCAATTACATCCATCAACAATTCATTTTGATGCAATAAATCCTAAAAATCAGTAAATGACCTGTTATCATATGTCATTAGGGATCCGGCCACCCTCCGACGAATTTACAGGCAAAAAAATGATCGACGACCGTTCGCCGATAATGGAAACTGCCTTCTCCGGTAACATTTACCGATCTAGGTTCAGGGTCGGGATTCTCTGGCGGAGGGGAATAGGTGCGATGTAGGGCTGAGCCACTTAGCTTTCATGTACTCGGCTTTGCGCCAGGGAAGGATGTGCATACCTTTCTTCTTCAAGCTCTGCCTCGCCGCCTCCGACATGATCGATACGATTTGCATAAGCCGATTGTCGTTTCTGACGAAAATCAGCGGCAACAATTGTAGAACGGCATTGTAACTTCTCGTTGACCTCGCAATCTCGAATTTTGATAAAAAAAATCTACATCGATCAACACTCTTTCTTCTTCCACAATCACATCAATGTATTCGTATTCTCTTACATAAAGCACAGACATTTTTCAGTATTTAAAACCTAACAATCAGGAGGAATTGGAACAGTCGCTTAACTATATACAAGTAATTATAGGTAGTTAGGTACCATCAGGCATGGATGAAGTTTTCTCCTATTTGGATTTGCAGGTGGACGCGTTGTAGCCTAGAGTCAAGAGGCCGTTGGCGACGATTTTTCAAAGATCGTCTTTACGTTTGCAAATTTTGTTCTTCTCGATGATTTTCGAGGTGTCGGCTAAGAGATTTTTGTCCGCAACACTCTCACAGTGAAGGCATTCCCCAGCGAGTCATTTATCGGAGAAGGCCAATGGTCGCCTTCTCCTTCTCTATGACCGGTGAACGGTCACCAATCACTTTTTTACCTGAAAATTTGTTGGAGAGTGGCCGGATCCCTAATGACCTGTGATAGCAGGTCATTTACCAATTTTTGGGTTTCATTGCATCAAAATGGATTGCTGATGAGTGTAATTGCACCTTTAAAAAGTTGAGGGGTTAATTGTTTTTCAGCTAAAGTTCGAGGACATATTTGACCCTTTTCTCTATATTTTTTTAATACTATTGACTCTATTCTTTTGTATAATTATTATGATAACTAGTATTTCCACCTGTGCGTTGCACGAAATTGATTTGTTATAATATTTAAAGAAAATTTGGATCGATATACAATTATATAAACTATAACAACAAGTATTATATAGAACAATTGATAAAATGGTTTGGATTAATTATGTTTTCTGATGTTATTCTTGCTTGATTTTCAATCAAATAATTGCTCAATTACCCGTGCGATGCACATATAATTTTTTTATTATTATTATATATTTAGATACTAAATTAAAGATGAAATTAGAAACAATTCTAATATTTGAAAGTGTACATTTCTACTATCTATCTACTATACTAATAAGAACCAAAGAAAGTTAGGCCTATAATAGGTAGAAAAAATGTCTTTAATTATATGATTGTCCGTTAACTTTCCCGTTAAATATTATTTTCTCTGTTAATTCACCGTTAACATTGCTTCAAAAGAAAAACACACAAATCCTTATAGAATTCTAATATTAAAGCCTTAATAAAACTCTAACCCACAAATCCTTATAAAATCCGCAAATAATTGAGATGGACTATATATAGTAAATCATGTGAAAAAGCACAATCATCCAATAAACCATTTACACATTATTTTCCTAGAAATCTTCTTTTACACTAACATCTAGGCATCTATTAATATCTTGCTATTAAAAAAAGTTCTTTTTTTTCATAATACTACTGTGCAAATTTGTGAGGGTGTGTTTGGTTTGCACATAAAAATCAGAATCATAATGAAAATTAAATATTTGATAATGGTAATGGAATTTGGTGAAAATATTTATTATGTTTGGTAATATGGTGAAATTAGAATGATTATCAATATTGATATTTGGTTATGTATGATTCTATAATGAGAATAAAGGTTTTAGAAATACAAAAACAAAAAATTAAAGCAATTCATCATAATATAATGACATCCAAAACACCAATATAAACAAAAAATCAAAACAAAAATATGAGAGACGTAGCGAGGAGGCAACAGATTGAGAGGTGACAGATGATGAGGGATAAGATGGAATGATTCATGTTTTTAATTAGGGAATGAAATTTTTAACTGGAGAAGTAATGAAATCACATAATTGTGTTTTCAAAAGTTGCCAACCAAACAATAACTATGATTTTGATTTCCATTCCTAGTGTGTAAACTTAGGCAAATTATGCTGTGCATCCGTGTGCTCCATGCATGGTGCACACGGATGCATAAACGGCGTCGTTTTACTTTTTTTAAAAAAAATCATTTCCGATTGCCATTAGTTACGTAAACATATGTTCATAATTTTATAATTTCACATTATGAATGTATAGTTATGCAATTCTGGATGTATAGTTATGCAATTCTAGATGTATAGTTATGAAGTTATGGATGTGTAGTTATGCATGCAATTCTGAATGTATGGTTATGAAGTTATAATTTCACATTCTGAATGTATAGTTATGAAGTTATGGATGTGTAGTTATGCAATTCTGAATGTATAATTATGAAGTTATGGATGTATAGTTCAAATTATGCACAAAATAACGCCGTTAACGATAAACGAAACTAATTTTTTTTTTTTTTTTTTTTTTTTTTAAGTTGGACGTCAAAACGACGTCGTTTTTGCAACCGTGTGCACCATGCATGATACACACGGTTGCACAGCATAACTACTCGTAAACTTATGAACCAAACACACACATAGTAAGACATTATATGGTTTGAGTTTTAAAAAGGAAACTTAATTAGTATTAAATTTGTATACACACTTACACATTTTGCATAGTGAAGGAACACAATTTTCATGGTCACTCTTTCACTTTGTTTTACATTTCTTTGTATATCCCCATGTTGTGGATGGTTAATTATCATTATTATTTTATTTTTCGTTTACTGTAAAATATTCTGAACTACTAATCTATATTTACA